AATGGGGGAGAGTAGAACTTGGACAGCTTAGCATAACAACACCACAGTCTTATGGGGGAACTCTCAAGCTCACCTTTAGTTAAACAAATGATTGATTCCCAGGGCTTGAAACTCATACCTGGGTCTTTTGGGGTAAAATCCATCTTACTCCAAGTCACAGCTGGGCTTATTCCCACATACCTTCTTGGATACTATCAATGTTTTGCCGCAAGGTAGCAGGAAACTTTAAAAGGATATGATGTCAACATAAAACCCCAAACCTTACTTGTGATAGACTTTATTCCATGTTGGCTTTCAGTTGAAAAGACAGTGAAATCTGGGTTCATCCTCTGGAGAGAAAATAGAGTAAGTCTTAAAGCTGTTCTGTCTTCCAGTGATTTGTAACAGGTCACTGAAATAAGTCTTTGCTTGTCGCAGTAAATGGGCTGTCAGGATTGGGGAATGTCTGGCACAAATTTGTCTAGGAACAGAATTATAAGCATGTGAAAAGCTTCTTCCACATTTAAAATGAGAGAGCAGAAATCATTCTGCAGAAATACCTCTGCTACTTGCAGGTTTATGTTGTTTTCCTGACAGACTTTCAACAACACTTTCATCTGAAAGAGAGAGAGAAAAACACACATTTGAGAAGCAGATGGAGAGTAAAACTATCTGACAGAGCCTTCCAAAAGCCAGTTCAGATAAAATTGTAATATTAACCCTTTAGGAAGGGAATTATTCTACTACAATATAGCCATAAAAACAAAATTAGCAACTGATTGTGAGAGAGATAAGCCAGGAGATTTGAAGCTGACAGTTTAATATTTGTGATTTTGGCTATGAAAGATTCAATCTGTTACAAATACATCCATCATGCCACATGAAGAGGTAGTTCAATCATCACTTTTTGGAAGTGCTAGCATAAGCATCACAAACTATTTCAGTTATTAAAACTTAAATAACATGTGAAAGGCTGGATCTGGGCATTTCAGATAGGTTAATGCTGTAGTTGAAATGCTGGTCTTTGTCAGTGACTTGAAACCCATGACAGCACAAGACCTGGAATTAGGTGTTCAAAGTGTGAACACCTTTGAAATTGAAGTGTGTGGTGTGAACATCACATAAAGTTTGTCTCTATACTGGCTACAGTATTCTTCTGTTCCTGTAGCAGCAAGGCCTCCATGATTTAAAAAAAGAACACAGTCCTTATTTTTTGAGTTAATGGAGGCCATTGCAATGCATTGTCAGAAACCTGGGTAAGACATGCAGAGCACAAAGGTTTTCAGTCCATTTCTGTATCGTATGTCCTTGCAATTTTTACTCTTATTTCTGGGAAGGCTTGCAGAAAGAGCCAGGCGAGCCCTGCAGCAAGGAATCCCTGACAGTAGATAGCAAATTTGCCCTTAGATCCAGCCTCAATATTAGCTGATTGAGGCTTAGCCAAGGAATCCAAATGCACTGAACAAGCAGTGGGGGAACAACTCTGTGGGAGGCGGTCCTGGGGAGGATTCTCCAGGAATGCCATGGGAACCCACAGTGGTATAAAGAAAAGTATTGCCCCTGGATTCCTGCCTTCCCCATGCAGATGAATGTATGTCTGTAATACACTCCCCAGTTCATGTCTGTCATTGGCTGTACTATCCCCCTGTTCTAGAAAGTTCTACATTCTCTCTTTCCCCATTAGTTCTCTCCAGTTAACCACTCCTTCCCCTTGTTCCCACTGGTCCAGTTTATGCCGCTCCATCCCTGCTTCCCCCTTACACCCCCTTCCCATTGGACTGTTTGTACCCCAGCCACCCCCTTGCCTTTCCCAGTTATGTTCTCTGGCCCCTCATTCTCCGGTGACTCTGGCAGCCTGCTTCCCCTGCGTGCAGGTGTCTCCCTGCTCCCACTCCCATCTCCTTCGTCCTCATTCTCCTCAATAAACCCACCTGGATTGCAGTGGCTCGAGTATCCTTCAGTCTTTTGGTGGAGACTTTATTATGCTATCCAGGCACCTGTGGTCTAACCAGCAGCGGGCTGCCCTGCTGGACAAGGCTTAGGACACCCGTAGTACTCTTCCAACATACAATTTTATAATAATTGAAAAAAAAGGACAAAAACCTAAAATGATACTTCTTGAGTCTTTGATGCTAACTTTAAAAATATAATGTCTTTTTTTTTTTTTTTTTAAGAATCAGATCCAAAGAGAACAGATCTTAAAGAAAATATGTTGATAAAAAAAAAACCAAATTAAAAACTCTGGCAAGGTAGTTTTAGCAGTTTCCATTAAAATTCTTTAAACCGGAAAAAGTTTACTTGATCCCCAGGTTTCCTCACTCAAAGCAATAGCAGTCTTTGAATACAAACTTCATTTTTCAAGCCTAGGATGAAACTGGGAGTCAAGTAGCTAGCGCTAAGTGGGTGTTGCAATGAGATATACCTTGTATGCAGAAAGATTTATAAACAAAAAGCAACAAAAAAGAACACATAAAAACTTTTAATAATTTGATAGCCTTGTAAATGTTTCCATAGAAATTAACTTTTAGGACTTTAGCATTTATTTTCTCATAACAAGGGTGAATTGATTATTGAGTGGTTGAATGCATGCAGTGCATGCTGATTTGTTCATGTGTAGCAGCTTTCTCCCAGTAGGCACCTTGCTGCCTGAAACATATTTTAAATAGGATTATTACTCATTAAATTACAATGACCTGGAGCAATGGTCAAGAAAACTGAAATTGCCTCAGTTCATCATGTTTTGGTTCACTGCCATTAAATTTCAGTGGCTGTGTTTCCCTAGAGTAAATAGACCTGAAGAACATAAATGGTTGAATGCTTCAACTTGTATTTAATCAAGTAAACCTAAAATATTCTTACCTATGTTTGGAAGCTAAGGAAGTGTATGAAATTCTTTGTTGTAGTTTTAGGGAATTTTAATACTTGTTATAGAGTAAAATGTAACAAACTTTGGTTAATGTGATACACAGCCATACCCTGTGCATCACCGTCTTTTGCATGCAGGGGACTTTATTTTGATTTAAAGAACTGTGGGTCTGGCAGTACAATTAGTTCAGGACCTTCCTTTTAGACTGTTTGTCCACATTTGTGTCTTTAGTTTTAGACATGAGCACAGAAAAGGGACACAGAAGTCCACTGAATTACATGGACACTGGATTAAACAATACATAGTGTCGCTGTCAAGGCAGGATGGGAATGAAGAAACTCACTCAGAAGGCTGCTGAGAGTAAAACTCCCATTTATTCAAAATACACTGCTCTTTTATACAGAGCTTCACAAAGACCAAATCCATTGGTTCTGAAGTGAAAACAAGCCATAGCATTGGTGCAGAGTGCTTGACGCACAGTGATAGAACTTAACTATAAACAATGTGAAAAACAAGAGAGATAAAGAATTATTTACATTCCCTCCAGCTCTTTCCCAGGCGTCTGCCTGGCTAGAAACTCTCAGTTTCTTTTCTTTGACTGAATCTGAGTCCCACAACATAGTAGTTTTCCACACTGAGTGATGGAACTGGAAGCTGCCATCTACCGTTATTCAATTAATTAAAAATTATATTTATCTCTAAATGTATCAGAATAAAGTTATTGCCTAATTTTGAGGATGTTTTTAAGGCAGACAGAAACTTGAAGCTATTAGCAAATAGAGTGGCACTGTCCCCCTTTATACCAGGAAGGCATTGGGAAATATGAGAATTTTGCTGCCCATGGGGTTTCATGGGGAATGCAGAGATCCTCCCGCAGCCCATGGGGCAGTGCCCGTGCTGGAGCGGGTGGATGCCTGGAGGAGACTGTGATGCACTGGGAGACCCAGTGGAGAGAGGGCCCTTGCTTCTGGGCGGGAGCAGCCTGTCCTTGGAGGGCTGCACCCGTGGAAAGAGAGAGACCCATGCCACAGCAGTTTTGGGAGGGCTGTCTGCCCGTGGGGGCAGTTCGTGCTGTAGCAGGTGGGGTTTGGCTGCTCCTTGTGAGAGTGGACCCACACTGGAGAAGTTCATGGAGAGCTGTCTCCCATGGGAGGGACCCCATGGCCTCACAGGGGAAGGATTCCTCTCATGGAGCAGTAGAAGAAAACCTTGGGTAATGGGCTGGCCAAAACCCCCCTGCCCTGTTTCCCTGCGCTGTTGTTGGGAAGGAGGTAGTGGCTGAGGGGAAAAAATGTGTTTTAAGGGCTTATTTAACATATCATTATTCTTCTCTGACTTTGTTAGTAATAAAATCACTGTGTACGTCTAAGCTGAACCTCTTTTGCCCCTGGAATGTTTTCTTCTAGTCTTTATCTCACCTCATGAACCCTTTGTCAAATTTTTTCTTTCCTCTGCCCAGCAGTTGTAGGGGAGGACAAGTGAGTGGCTCTCATGGGTGCCTGGTATTTGGCCAGTGTAAAACCATGCCATCACCATATATGTATAGACTGTGCCAGAAAAACAAACCAAACAAACTCAAACAATCTGTCAATTGTATAAAAAATTTTGAGGAGTAAAAATTTCCAGGTTTTATCTGAGTAAATGGGAGGCAGCAAATTTTACAATATGTCTGCCTCTACTAAACAATTATCTGCATGGAATGATTTCTAATTTATTATTCATTATCATGTCTTTATGCTGTCTATTAGCAGAGATGCAAAAATTACAGGAAAGTTTTGTATTAGAAACATTTATAGAAACGGAATTAATTGCACTAACCCATCTTTGTCATTCTGAAAGATAATATTTAATCTTTTGCTTCCATAAATGTATACTTCCCAACACTTCTCTATTTTATCAAGTCTTTCTTCTTCTTGAAATATATATCCTGTTCACTGGAAAACTCATACGTATATAACGAATGTACCGGGACAAAACTGACATATAATCCATCAGTATGTTGATTGTTTACTCCCAAAGCTGTAATTATTTTTGTCCTGGTTTGAAAAGACAGGTGTCTGCTCAGGAATGCAGGAGCCTCCTCTGAAAGAAAATGTAAACCCCCTCCCACCAAATTATCATTTTGAAATTAAGGGGCTCTCAGGCAAAGATATGTGAATTTGAATAACAGTTCTTTATTAGGAAATAAAATAAAAATAAAATAAAAAATGAAATAATATTAAAAAAACACTGACAGAGTCAGAATATGACCTGACACCCTTTTGGTCAGCGTGTTGGTAGCAGTCTGATTACAAGGTGGCTGCAGTCCTCCTGGAGTGGCAGGTGTGGCTCTGTTGAAGCAGTGATCCTGTAGAAGGGTGTGTTTTTCCTCTGAAGGTCCAGTGGTGGTATAGATGGGTCTGCTCTTCCTCTGGGAACCCAGTGGAAAAGAAAGTTGCCCCTCTGGGATTCTGGTGGCTGACTGTGGTTCCAGATATCACATTATACCCAGATAGGAATGCTTGGCTCCTCCCCCTGGATGGAGCATCTCACAATGGGATTTTATCAGTCCTTCAGGAAGATACCTCCCCAGAGGGAAGATGGGCTGTGGAAGAGATAAAGAAAACTGCCCAATTAACAGAAGATAACTGCCCCACCTCTAACAAATATTGGTAGAACACACACCCCCAGTTACATCTTCCAACCTAAGACAAATTTTCATATGCTCTTCATAATGAGTACCATTCTCATATTTGTGTGTTTAGCTTTTGATCTGTACACAGGGAAAGTATTATCTGATTTCCTGAAGACCACTGTAAATAAAGCTAAACATATTTGTTTCTTATAAATTTCTCTTTTTAAAATTGATTAATGGGTATTATTTTTAAAGATTGTTTTAGAGGTCATCAATTTTATATTCTTAATCAGGTCTATACAAATATTTTAACTTTTTAGCATTCAGTAACCTTTGAAAACGTCTTTATTGTCTGTGTACTTATGTTTTAAATGTCACATATATTTTCCCTTCTTTTTTTTAACATATCTTATCATCTACTTCTACAGTATTCTTTTTCTCAGTTTAATTCCTCATGATGCACAGATTTGCTGTGATTTGTATGAAATGTACTCTGTGGGTGTTTTATTTTGAAAGTCAACATGTCTCTTCTGTTACTGTTTTTTATTTTATTCATCCTCAAGTTTGCCAACAGCACAAAGCTGGGTGGAGGGGCTGATACATTAGAGTGTCCTGCCGTCTGTCAGGGAGACAGGCTCACCTAAAGAGGAAAGGCTAAGGGAGCTGGGCCTGTTTAGACAGGAGAAGAGATGACTGAGAGGGAACCTCTGCATACAAGAGCTTAAGGACAGGTGGCTGAGGATGGGCCCAGACTCTTTCCTGTGTCCAGAAACAGGGGGATGGGCACAACCTTAAACACAGGAAGTTCAGTCTAAATACGAGAGAAAAATTCTTTACTCTTAGTGTGAAAGGATTTGCACAGGACAGAAGATTGGAATAGGCTGCCCAGAGAAGTTACAGAGTTTCCCTCTTTGGAGATATTCAAAACCCATCTCAATGCAATCCTGTGAAATACACTCTGTAAACTTCCTGTAGGAGTGGGGGTTGGGTGAGATTGTCACCAAAGGTCCCCTCCAACCAATGGTTCTGTGGTTATGTGTGATCCTGCATGATCCTTTTCAACAACCAATTCAGCTTCTAGAATTTTAACTTTTAATACCAGTCAACAGCTCACACTCTTACATTAACCTTGAAAATAATATCATGTTTTTCCAGCTGTTTTGATTTCTCGTTATTTTTACTATAGCATGAATGAATTTCTCTTGTTAGTCATGAATTGCTATTCATTCTTAGTGACCCCAGGCATCAGGGAGACATTTGAAAAATGAGTATTGTGTAATCCCAGGTTTTACACATCTTCTTTCTTTCTATGACATATTCCAAATAACTGAGCTGTCACTAAGACCTGTACAATAACTGTCACTGAAGCAGTTAACATTTTATTTGTAGCATGGTCTGGGGAGCTAAATTTTTTTTTTTATATTTCTGAGATATATATCCTTTAAATGCCAAGTATACTCTTACATCTACACAGTACTGCTGAAAGCAGACAAATAGCCTTAAGAACATTTTGAAGCTTAATTAATGTTTTGTACTTGAATATTTGAAGGATATAAACACCAAAGAGATAGAAAAGTCAATTAGAATATTGCCTGGGGTACATAAAGGAATGATGAGATGGAATTACAGATTAAATGTTTAAGTTAAATAAAAAGAAAATCTTTCTGACACTGAGAACTACTTGCCTATAAAATTGTTTCTTAAGGAAAAAGATTAAGGAATAATTTATTAAGACAATTACAAATATATGGGCATAAAGAAATTATGTAGGTTAGAGACAATGTTTTACTAGAAGAAAAAGAAAGACCAGATAAAATTTCCCATTTTCATTTTTACCTGTGCTTTTTCAGTTTCAGTATTGAGTGCTAAGATGTTTTTGGGGAAAGCAACCTTTCCTTTAAGCTGAAAGGACATGTAGAAGTCATGAATGGGTTTCTAGTCATCAGACACTGTTATTAAATCACTAAGTTCTATAGCATTTAAGATACTTTAACTCCTCTAGTCAGTCATTGAATGACTGGTAAAGACCAAATACATCATTAATACTTAAATATCTATCAGTGTTTTAAATTTCATACTGCAGAATTCAAAATGTCACTTATCTATAATTCAAAAGCTGTTTAAGGACAGCAATTAGTAGCTTGCGGTAGCCTTCTAATCCATGAATTGCAGCCTCACATAAGATTAAAGGCCAATGTAATTCAAATGAGATTATGAGTAATATAACAATTGTATCTGAACACGTGAGATGAGTAAAAACCTCTCACCTTGATTCTGAGAAAAAGAAGACCTATTTACGTGGATATGTAATTATTTTGTAAGATAATACTGATCACAGTCAGTAGGACAAGAGGAGAAATTTGTCCTTGAGAGAGGAATATAGATTTACATTTAAGATATGTTTCATGGCTGTCACACACAGCTCAATTCCATTGAGTCAGCTTTGACAAATCCCTATTAAATACAGTTTTGTATTCCAAATCTAATCTATAATTCCAAATCTAATCTAATCCATTTTTGTGTAGTTAAACACCCTTCTCAACATGGATCCTGTGCTGTTGTACTGACAGTGCAGATCAGCCTAATTCAATGATTGAAGGATACTTAAGATATTCAGCCCTCACTAGTCATTTTGTGTCTTTGCTTAGCTAAAAGATATGTTGAACAAATAAACAAGAAGGAGTTTCAAGAATCAAAAGATTTAAAAAAACCACAATTATCAGAGGATATGCCTAAAGAAAATGTAATGTAGGTATTTCTGACTTAAGGACTATTAGTCAACTACATCAGCTCAGTAAAATACTGTAAGTCAATTAATGAAGTGTAATATTATGCGTAGAGGCCAACAACAATACTTTGTTCAGTGTAGTACTGCTAAAAGAGATTGTTTTTTAAAAAAACCCACTTACTGCTCATCTAAATTGCCTACACAAACAGTTCACAGAGGAATAAAAGGCAAAAAAGAAATATTAAAAAATAGTTGTTCACTTTATAAGGAATATTAATATCATTACTTAAAATGACAAAACACATGAAGTTGAACTCAATTTCAAAAATATTTTAATTTATTCCAGGATTTATTTACAGTATAGAACATATGGAGTGAAGTGTGTAATAGAACAAATAAATTAAAAATAGCTTTTTTTTTTTTTTTGGTCATGAATTGAATTCAGATTATTTTACATATACAATACACACTAGTTTTCCTAAATACTGTAGTTTTTTCATGTTATGAGATTGATTTAACTGTTGCATCGTCTGGTCACATTGAATTCAGATACATATGGGGACAATACCTGGCAGCCTCAAGCATGAATAAATTAATCCTCTGGAATTAGTGCTTGTCTCCCTGATTGTGCTTCCTTTGGATGACACAGTGTGCCATCTGAGAGTCTTTGCATAGCTGCCCAGGAGACAGTCATTTTGCAAAAGGTTGATGGAGGAATGGAACCATTTGTATAAAAGAAATGTCCATAAGGTCATATGGACACTTCCATCTGCTGACTGAAGAGTATTTATTAAGTAGTTCTCTCAGCTCAGAAAAACTACTTTTCAGAAGTTTTTTCCACCTTTATTTTAATAATCTGCTTCATTAATAGAGTATTGCAGGCATTGAAAATAGCACCAGTCCAAAGACACTTCATAACACGGTACTGAAATTTCAGATAATGGGATTTTTACCTAGATGTTACTCTTACTAGGAATGTTAAATTTATCACACTGCAAGCTTTTTCATCTTGTTTTTTTCTCTTTTCTGTCGGAGGAAAGTCATGCAGTGGCTTGGAGGGCATCTACTGTCCGCCAGGGTCAACTCACCACAGCATTTTTTGAAGCACGAACATGGAGCACAAGAAAATGGCAGCTGTGCGTGAATTATGCTGTAGTTATAGCTGTTGGGCAGCAGGATTTTTTTGTGCATCACACTGCTTGTCTCTTGATTTTGCTGAGCTTGGGAACATTCTAATACAAACAAGGCTCTGTGCTTTGCCCTCATGTTGATGGCCCTGCTGTTCTGGGGAAGATGTGTTGTGGAGAGCACAAAGGAATACATCTTCCTCTTCCAAGTGGCCCTGCACCCTTATATGAGCTGTTTAGAGTGTAATTATATTGAATATCATAAAATTATGTAATAAATAATTAACACTGTTAGCATATCATGGACTCTGTGGAATCAGTAGTTTTCCTGGTGTAAGAAAAGGCAACCTTTTGGGTGAAGAAATGCTGAAAATTGCCCTGAAGTATGTGGAATTGTGTTATTATATGTTTTATTATGTATAAGTTCGTTCCATGTACCCCCCCGCGCTCTGTAGCGACCCCCCGGGTTTTCCCATCTGTCCCCACGGTTTGCTTTCCCGGGAAAGTGCAGAGTCACTGTGTTTACATCTCAGACTGTCTGTCAGTCACGCGGCACCCCGCCCCGGGACGCTGTGGGTCGGCAGACGACCTGGGACCTTCCACCTGGCTGCCCGCCATTGGGTGTACCCCTGCACCCCACTGCCCTCAGACCCCCCGTGGCGTTACCCCATTGGCTGCCCCGGGTTTCCCCTGTTCGGTACTTAACCCGCGGGCTGGAGACGCCCCCGCTTTTCTCTCGGCCAGCCCCTGCGTGCTGCTGCCGCCCCGCCGCCGCCGCCGCCACTCCGGGCAACCCCCCCGCGGCTGCTCCGCTCCGCCGCCGCGGCCGCGGCACCCGCGTGAGTCGCCACCGTGCCGCAGCCCCGCGCGCCGCCTCTCCTGGCTCGCGGCCAGCTCCAGAGCGGGCCGCCCCGCCCAGCTCGGCAAAGCGGCACGAACAAACTCCGGCACGGCACACCGCAGTCTCTTCGGTTTTTGCTTTCCCAGCCAAGCTGCAATAAACCGGAATTCTGCCAGCGGGAGAAAAGTCTCTCTCCTTTTATTTGCCGTGGGACTCGCCTCTTGCTCTCAGACCCACGTAGCTCCGGCCGACGCCCGCGAGGGCTCGCCGGAAAAGACGGAAACTGCCCGCGCTCCCCTCCCCCCACGGAGCTAGCAGGGAAAAGGGGGGAAAAGAGAGCACTACGGCAGAAGTAGTTGTTCTTTGGTTGTCAGGGTGTGTGGAAGCATTTGTGTGCACAAAGTTCCTAGGCCAGTTTCTGTCTCCCATAACCTGGGACTTCACGTTTGAACATGCAAGTAAGTCTTTCTATCACTATTTTATAGAAAGATTCCTTGCCTATCCTTGAGAAAACCAGCAGTTTCTCATACTGTGCTATGTACTACACATTATTAACAATCTTGGTGGTATCTGAAAATTTAAGGAATAGATGGGTTTTTAATGTAAATTCAGAAATTTCTCATTACTTAAAATTTTATGCCAACTGTCTAAAGCATATACAAAAATATTAATAATTTTCATGTCCTTCATTACATTATCAATAACCTTCCAATTACTCACAGAGACACTAGTTATGCATATCATGAATTTCTAACCTTTACCAGTGGCCTGTTGCAGAAATTGATAATGATGTAACAGGAACATCAAGTACACTTTCCTTATTTATGCTCATTAACTAGTTTAACATTGGTAATTTCTGGGGAAAAAATATGGCAAAATCCTTGACAGAAATTGTGAGTACTTTGAATATTCTGTTCTGTTCTGTGTGCTTTTAGTATTTCTCCCTGAAGTAAAAAATGTGGTTGGTCCAAGGAGAATAAAGAACAGATCTGTGTGACATTTCTGTTTGAAGTCATAAAATTAATAACTGTCCTCCTCCCTTGTGAAATAGTCAATGCTCTTGTCACAACACATCTTTCAGATAATTTTTGGAGTATTTCCACTGTGCTTATGAAGAGAAGGTAAAAAATTCTATGTAATAAGTAGCACTTTTGATATATTCTTTCATGTAGAGTGATTTTTTTCTTCAAATTGTGATTTTTCTTCAAATCTCACAGCTTTCTAGAAAGGAAGCAAGACTTTCTATTGTAAGAAGCAGATGACCAGCTTTATTCTTGTTATCTGTCATGATTGAGGACAACAAATTTGTCACTTTCTGTCAGCTGGAAATCTTTTTTGTGTTTGACTTGAGCTGTTCTCTGAGACCCACTTCTGCAATATTTTGAAAGTTTAATTTCTTCTTTCTAAATGCTGTGCTGCTGAGGTTAACATTGCCTTTGGAAGACCTTGAATGGCTAAGTCTGGCTTTGGTTTTATCAACATACCCTTGCTCTTGTTTCCTGAGCTGGCAGAAGGCTGTTTGCATAATATACAGGTTGCTGAAAATTCAGCAACCTCAATGTCATGTTATTAGAAATCTAGTCAATAGTTGGGCTTCCATTTTCAGTCAGAACCGTGGCTACAGTTGCATCGCTCTTTTAGCTCACTGTGTAGAGCCTCTGAGCTATTTCCTAAACTTAAGAAGGTCACACCACCAGTCTGCATAACCCTACTTATGAAAAGAACTGGAACTGAGATGCAAGGCAAGAAGCCATAAAAATAGAGCAACAAAATGTGTGAGCTGAAACATAACTGTGAAGAGACATTGTGAGGTTTCTTGGAGTACAATTAGTAGTATCTTTATATGCTCGTAGTACAGTGTGACAAAAAACAATACACATCTTATGAAATATTAAGATTCACTCTGTTTATAAGATTATCCCAGATACAGGTTACTAGAAAACACATTCTTTGTATATAATTTTGCCTCACTGGTTATGATGACAACCAAATGGAAATGCTTTTATACACTTTGGAAAACAGATTCAACATTTGTAGGTGAAAAATGTAGGCGATTATTAAGCTGGTAGGATGACCCATATATAATTTTTTTTTTTTTGGTTCTGTCTGAATGTGTGAAGATCTAAAATAATCCTTGATTTATAGCACAGTACTAGTACCCAAAATGAATCTGTAAGTGGTACTATAGAAACAATAATGTTGCAGAATAAAATAGGGTTCAAGTACAAAGAAACCACTCACCAAAGTTCAAACATTCCTTAGGAATGGGAGGGGTAAAAATAGTTCAAAATACTTGAAAACCAAAAAATAATATTAACATTAAATAATATTAACAAAAAATAATACCTCTTTCCTGTTAGAACATAGATTCTTTGGTTTAAAACTGAAAAAAACCCCAAAAAACCAACAAAAAACACAAAAAAGAAAGGAAGAAAAAAGCTAATTACCTGTGTAACAAAAATGTCCTACTCAGAACATTTAATCATTTCCATAATATAAAAGAATCACAGTTACATGAAAGCCTTACTGGAAACCAATAGAAACAGAAATAGAAATAGAGAAAATAGAATAGGAAAAGGAAAAGTAGAAAAGGAGAAGAAAAAGAAGAAAATAAGAAAAGAAGAGGCAAAAGGAAAAGAAGAAAAGAAAAAAAGCGAAGAAGAAGAAAAGAAGAGGAAAAGAGGAAAAGAAAAAAGGTAAAGAAGAAAGGTAAAAGAAGAAAGGGAAAGAATGGGAGAGAGGAAGAGGAAGAAGGAGAGGGAGAATTCAAGTGAGTTCTCTCAGTCTGTACTTTTGTCTGAGATTGTCCTGTCTAGTTCTGTCATAGTAAAGATAGAAAAGGGATGACTATTTCCTTTAGGTATAATTTTAAAATTAATTGTGTAGGCTTTAAAAGTCAAATTAATAAACAGCTGGTATACATATTATATCCCATTTTCCCTTCATTACACATTATTTGTTTTTGAGTCACATTTCTCTGTTGAAGAGTTTGGAACATCAACATCATTAGTTGTGTAAGCCTCAGAAGCAATTTATAAGAGCAGCACTGTCAGTGTCAAAACAATGTAGTGTGAAATGTTGGACTGCACAGTATACTATTTGCTGTGTCTTCATTTAAGAAAATAATTTATAACTTTAAATGTGAAATTACTCATGTTAATCTAAGATGTAAATATAGCTACATTAGTGGTCTATGAGTGGTCTCAATAAAGGTCGTTCCATCCAACCCTAATTCACCTACTTAATGTATACAAAAGATTTACATCTGTTATAATTTTACTTTGTTACAACTCAGTAATGATAATAAAAGTGAAATTAACTTCAGTATTATACCCAGGAAGAGCATGTAGCTCTTCAGTAAGCACAAACTAGAAATGGATGCAATTTGTCTTTCAGCATTATATTCTCTTAAATTTTTAAGAAGACTTCTAATCTATGAATTGTGTTACAGATCAGAGCCGAAGGCATTAAACAAATATGTAAAACAGTCTTTCCCCAAATACAATTTTTTTCTTCTTTTTTTTTTCTTCTTATATAAATCATTCATATCAAATATGTGGACTGAATAGGAAACTATGATTTACCATAACCTGAAAGAAATAGGATACTATAATTAGTCACTGCACCTAAATAAGCTTCTCACAATCTCATCATTTCTGAAAACGTAACTACAAGAATAAATCAAGTTATATATAGCATATATATATATATGTGTGTGTGTGTGTGTACATAGATATATATTTCATATATATAGCTCATATATCACATAAAGTCAGTGAGGCAGCAGCAGTGGTAGCTGGGATAAGTTTAAGGATGAGAGTTTGACTGAGTTGTAGAGGGGATTCCGGAGCTCAGGGACTCTCAAGAAGCAGTCTCGAGCCCCATCCAGATCCAGAAGCCCTTGGCAGTCACAGATGGGGAACTTTATAGGAGAAGTCTCCAGTCTAGTAAGGCCATCTGATTACTATCTGTTGCTGTTGAGTAAGAAAGCAGCACAGACTCCAAGAAGGCTGGTTTGAACAACCACAACGTTAACGCGAAAAACTCTCCTTTATAGACTGACTTGACACATTCTACCTGATTGGCTAATTAACAAACACACTTTTGTCACAAACAATTCATGAAAAGAAGAGAAAAACAAAGAGTAGAAAACACCACCTTCAGGTTGTTTACAATAACAAGCTATCATAGTTTCTCTACAACTCCCTAAAAGTCTCATAAGTTTGTAATGAGAAAACTTATCTCACTTTCTTGCTCTCTGACCAGGCTGTCACATCCACGGCTATGTAGAATTCACTGTTCAAACCAGCAGCAACAAAGTAAAAAGAGAAGCCCAAGGGCAATCAAAAGACACTTCAGGGCTTTAGAAGTTTTGTTGAAGAATCATGAGCAACAAAAATGATTTCCTTCATCCTTCCAGTAAAAAGGAATAATATTCATAGGAATAGGTAGATCCATCAGATAAATGTGTGGCTCCAAGGCTGGTGTAATCAGAAAAAATTCAGGTTCTTTGTCTGTGGGATGTTCTGTTCAACTTCTGCTCTACTGATGCTGACACCTGATGGGATGCATCTTTTGCAGAGAGTAAAATGATTTCTAGAACCATGTTTCTGGAGTTAGCGGGGCTTGTTGCTGGAGCTGTAAAGTAGTTTGGAAGAGGGAAAGGAAACATACCAGGCTTGCCAGGAATGAACAGTGAGATGCTGTGCAGAAAACTGAAACAAACACTAATGGGATCCCTCAATCTTCTTCATTAAGTGTTGGCTACAATGAAACACAACTGAAATGTTTCCACACAAATGCATACAGCATGAGGAACAAGCAAGATGAGCTCAAACCTTTGGCCCAGTCCCCATGATTTGAAATCACTGGTGTAGGTGAAAGGGGTAGAATGTATGGAGCTCTCAGTTGTCAATGGAACAGTTGAAACCCTCTGGGTAAGAATCAAGGGGGAAAGAAATGATGTGGATGTCACTGCGAAAGTCA